TCACTGTGAGGACTGAGGTGCCCCGACCCAAGCCATGGTAGTTGCCCTGTAGGGATGACTGCAGATCGATTCATGTGAATTCGGTGTTGGTGAAGAATCATCCTGGACTGCCCCAGAAGGGCAAACAAGTCTTTCTTGGAAGAGGTGCAGACAGAATTCTCCATAGAAGGGAGATTTCAAGGTCACTCTCCTGTATTTTGGACATGTTATCAGGAGGATCCAATCCCTGGAAGAGGACATCATCTGTGGTAGAGCAGAAAGTCAGCCCCAAAGAGCATCAGTAAAATGAACTGGTTGCAACAATGGACTCAACTGTGAGGATGGCACAGGCCTGGGCAGGGTTTGCTCTGTGGAACATAGGTTCACTTTGAGTTCGAATCCACTTGATGGCACCTAATAACGACGACTGCAAAAGAATCACATTTCAACTTTCGTTTTTTTTTTTAAATGCAGGTAACAAATATGAATCTGATTCTGTGAAAAACAGGTGTGTAACAAATATTTTAAAAACACTTAAAAATAATTCTGAAACCCAAACATGGTCATTGGAAGTCATATTCTTTAAATAAAGAGAACTCATACATTAGTCCATTTAATGGAAATTCAGTTAGGTCTCTGAGATATATCTGTAGAGAATCATATTATCTGTATACTTAATTATAGAAGTAGCTTCTTAAAGAATTAAATAAACTTATATGTATCTGTGTGATAACTGAACAATCAAATCTGTACCCAGACAAAGTCAATCAATTTTCTTAGAGCTCTAGTAGTACACTATTCTTTTATACAGATGTGTATCAAGTGAAAATGTAAACCTACAGTTAAGTACTTCCTTACTGATTTGAGTAGGTATGTTTTTCTAGTGGGGCCGAAAGACCCATTTTAATATTCATAAGAAGTACAAAAGCCATAACTGTCATAATGACTTGTTTTAACAATCAGGTAAATATTTAATCATTTCATTTAACTCACAGGAATTATATTTTCTGTTCTTTAAGAAGCAAGTCGATTAGACTGGTAATTTTTGAGTATGGAATTGCCTTATTCAAACTTTTCTGGAGCCAGAAAAGGAACACATTTCATACTCAGTTGAGAGATTTTTATCAGTAGACTTAAAAGGCGGCAGGGTGCATAATTAGGTATGCCTGCCATCTGCATAGCCCTCCAGGTGCTAGAGCCATTAGCTTTATTTAATATTACCACAACATTAATTTTACTCCATTCATTTATGTCATTTGTCCTTTATTTCAAACCAAGACTATCACATCTAAAGCACTGGACAGAATGACCCAATTCTGATTTTAGAGATCATCTTACTTTATAAATAACATTACGCAACCTCAACAGTGAAGAACACTCTTTTAGAACAGTTGACTGGCTTGCTTTCACATTAAAAAAAAAGAAAGGTCTACAAACATAACCTTCCAGATTTTCATATGATCCTTTATTTATTTTTTGCAAAAGGGGGCACATTGTAAGATCATCATTACAGGTGGCATTATGACAAGACCCTCGTCATCCTGAGTAACAGAATGAGAGAGCCATGGTCGGCATTCAGTCGAGGAGGGGGCCTTCGCAGAGTCTGGACCTTGTTGTCATGTTCACCCATCTCCCTTTCTAGCAAAGAGTTCTTCTTGAGCTCCTCTCAATTTTGGGTGAGCCCACTTGCGCTCCATCCGGTTGTCAAAGCTGTGGCCACTCAGAAGCAGAAGGCCAGGCCCGTCTTTCCAGGTGCCTGCAGCTGGGCCGGAAGGGCTACCTTCCAGGTAGCAGTCCACTGGTCGACTGCACCTGCCAGGGACTTCCTAACAAAGAGAGAGGGCCTCCAGTTCTGATGCTTGGCTTGGTATCCTTTTATGGGTGTCTTGATAGAATTGATTAACATGTCTTTTGTTCAGTTTCTTTACAGTGATGGCAAATGATAGTGTTCCCTATTTAAACAATTTAGATGCAGTTTCTCCTTTAAGTTCTTTTATATTAAAAATTAGTCTACACTAGAGAGAAATATTCAGTAATTATGAGGATATGGAATACATCGTGAAGGTTGAATGCAAAATAATTGGAATTGTAGCAACATGGGTATAAAGTTAATTGCATGTAATCTCAGAAGGAAAAATCCAATCGCACAAGTACACAAAAATAAAAATTTGAGGCTGAAGAAAGATATTTATATTACCATGTCTTGTAGGATATGACCACTCTTCCTGAGCATGTAGTCATGCTTTATATCTAGTATGCACGTGCAGTATCTAATTTTCTCAAGCAACGGTACAAAACCTTTAATCATGTTTGTGGGAATGGATCTTTGAATATGAACTATTTCAACCTAGACTCAGATTTAAAAATAGCAATTGCTGGTACACTAACTTTAAAAATAGAGAATGGTATGATTTTGAAGATAATCTTTTTATAATTAAATCATTTTATTGGGGACTCGTACAATGAAGATAATCCTATTTGCTTCAGAAAATCTTTGAGTCAGAAGAAAGAGGATGGGGGTAGGAGAAGAAAGAATCACAAAGTATTCACAAATGACAGGACCCCCTCCAAGGGGAGTGAATGCACTGTGAGCAAGCTGAAGCTCCCTCTGCAGAACTGCCGAAGGCAGTCTTTGGATGATGGTACTTTTTGAAATGAAAATGTTTGAAACTTGATAATGTTCAAGCAACATTTTCAGAGAGACAATTCGGAGATCATTACCATAGATTTGTTTCCCTCCTTGAGAGAACTCCTTTTAAGTGTGCCCATTAAACCTCCAGTACTGGACTAAAATAGATAATTAAAAGTCTTCGACACATAATCCCATATACATTTTCCTAATTTACATGAAAATGGACAATATGGAAGGCTGAATTTTGAGCTGCTGCAAAATGAAGTTATAAAAATCACTTTAAGAACATATGCTTCCACTAGCTTTCACTCTTTCATTTAGAAATTCTTTTAGTGCCAACATTTTTTCTTTCTTTCTCATGCAGAGGTAAAGGAGGCCTGGCCTGCCTTACAAATGACTCCCTTCAGAAAGGGGCAAGGTTACACACCAAGTCCCAGGAGCCGGAGCTGAGGAGCATATCTTCTGCACAAATCAAAAGCATTCCAGAGTCCTCGTCCCTGCGGAGAGCAGGTGATGAGAGCTTTGGCATTCCCACACCTCGACCAAAAAAAAAAAGTACTCTTGTTTCCCTGCAGGCATCCTTTCAACATTTCCCTCCCTCAGTTGATATCTGAAGGCGGGCACTACATCACTCCCGACAGACATTCGCCCACCATGAGCTGGCCAGCCCAGTAGCTCAGGCAGCCCAGTAGAGGATGAGGGGCTTCCAATCATTCATGGAAACTCCCACCATCATCTCATGCCATTTCCCATGAACTTTCTGAAGCTTCCTTGTTCATCTCAGGGGAGGGAAATGCATCCTTTGCTCCTTCGGTTCTATTGGGAATACATTTTTTTAAAAAAAAACAACTTTTTTTCTCGTCTTTTACTAATGCTAATTTTTTAATGTTTCCAACTCCATCACTGCTTTCTGATTTATGGAGTCTACTGACATGGTGCATCTCAATGCCACACCTGTCACTACACATCAGTCTGTACTGAATTAAACTCACATCATTATTATTGTTATTATTGGAGGGGAGAAGAAAGTGGCCAGAAATGTAAAGTCTTCTCCACTTTGATTTAATCAAGCAGGGAGTCACGCTGAATCTCATAGGCAAGTCTCAGCGTGGGGCAGGACACGGTATGGACACGACAATGCCCACGTCCTCATTTAAACTCTTTATTCAAGTCCTTTCTTCCGTCACCAGAGAACTCACATCTATAGGAGCAAACTTTTTTGTCTTTGCTCCAAGTGTTTATGATTCTAAATCATCTGTTCCTTCCGAACTGTAACTGTCTCCCTGCCCTTTCCCATTTCCCCCCACCCTTCCTCTTTTTCAAGGACTTGACTTTGTCAATTAGCAGGAGCTCAGGAGCAGGGCTTTTCCTGAATTTTCTACGTGCATTTGCGACAGTCCTGCTGTTTCTTTTTGCTGTTAGTATGAAGACTGCAACTAGCTCACTGAGCCAATGTAATGCCATGAACTCAATCACGACCTTGAACTTAGTTAGTCCCATGTTCCCAAAAGCCACCTATTAGGGTAGTGACTCAGGGTATTGAAAGTGTTTTAAGAACAGTTTAAGCTGTTCTCACTGGGGTACTCTCTCACAGTCCTCACTCTTTCATACGGTAAAAATCTGCAAGTTCAATCTTAAAACAGCCGCAGTTCATGGGTCCTGGCAGCCTTTCAAGTGGGAGCATCAGCAAATAACTGATAAGAAGGGATACCGAAATGCATTTTATTATATTAAGTACCTGGTTGTACAATGATTCGCCAGGGAACATCTCCCTGAATTCTATTTTTTCTTATTTTTTGGGGGGGGATGCAGGTTTTTGATTATCCACTTTGTATACCTGGTTCTCTTATTTTAGAATTAGATAGAAGCTTTGGGGTAAAATGACAGACCGTTTTAGCGATGAATCAGAGAGGGGCTGCACATGCTCATTACCTAATTAATGGCAGGACTAGGACAAAGATTCCCCAATTCCTCACTTAGGGCTGTAGTCAGACCTTTTGCTAATTAACATAAACAATTTTCATTTTTCATCTGAGCGGATTTTAGCTCTTGCCAACCCTCAAAAAGCAACTTGTGAAGAAGAAGAAAAAGCAACTTCTGCTACTATTTCTGCATTAAAAGAACCTCAGGGACGCATACAGGTGGGAGACACTTTTCTTCCTGCAGTGGCGTTTACCTTGCTCTGCTCCAAGAAAACTCTGTGTATCTTTAGTCATAGAAAAAATCTGGACATATGAAAAATTGAGGTTTTCTTACTCATGCTGTCCACAGCTCCTCTCATAGTAACTATGAACGCCATATGTTCAGTTAGACATGATAAAAACCAATTTTAGTTGTAAATCTTGAACAATACAATAAAGCGTTTCCCTAGTAAAATGAACACACCAAAAACGATGCCTGTTTCTTTATTGGCGCACGCCTGAAACTTCTTATTTATTCACTTCAATTCTGCATTTACACAAGAACGCTGTAATAAAATATCTGTACACTACTTCTGTTACAAATATAGATAATATTTAAAGTGACTTTATATATTCGAATGTAGGAGTTTCACGCTCTAAAATGGGAAAGAACACATGATAATTCCTTACCAGTTGTCTCAATAAACAGCTCCATCTGTTTCCCTTAGTCTAAAACTATTGTATTATAAGATGTTAATATAAGGCAATGAAACTAAGTTATGCTAATCCCCTTAATTTTTCTATCAATTTACTAATGGCATGCAACCAAAATAATTACTAACACATTGCGTTTTTCTCTGTCATTAAGATTAATACTAATTGAAAACCAATTGCACAGCACACTAACATATTTTCAGTATTGCATCAGTAGTTAGAACCAGCATTAAACGAGCCTGGGACTCGTCCATGTTCCTCCTCGGCCGAGATGGCTGCTCTCTAGAGCAGCTACCATTCCACACGGGGTATTACTGTTGCTTTACTGATTACAACACAAACATGGTTTAGGGCAGATGAGCATTCGACATATGAGGGGGCTTCACAAAGTTCATGAGAAGATGGAACTAAGTGATACTGGAATTTCGACATGGACTTTCTAAGGCCCCTCGTACTGCCTTTCCAAAACTTGGGAGCATGGACCCCTGTGTTTGCTACTGACGCATGATCTTAGCAATGGACTCTGTGTTTCAGCTGCCGTCCAGCGAGAATGTGAATCGTGGAAGCCTTCACCGAAAAGAAAATGCACAAAGTAGAGGTGGAGAGATGTGCTTTTTGTGATACTAAGAAATCATTAATACTGAACATATATTTTTAAGCCTGTTAATAAAAAGAAGTTTCTTTCTTTCATGTGAGGTCTACAGAGAGAAGATGGGTGGGTAAAATCAGGTATTTCATAAGAGTCTTCAAGATTTTATTCTTTATTTTAGCATTTGTCATTTTCCACCATAATTTGCTGACGCTGTTTCTGCTGGTTTAGACTTACAACTTTTTTGTTTCTTTCTCTATTCATCCGTTCAGGACCTAATAATTTTTGTCCATTTGACCACAAAATGTCAACTATCTTCCCAAAGAAAGGCTGGGTTTGGCTGATGAAATAGTTCTTTTTGTCGAACGTAGGTTCACAGGTAGCAAGGGGAAGGAAAACTAAATGCTAAGCTGCAAGCAAACCAGGTCTATATGAGAAAAAACGTAAATAATTTTTATTTTATCCTCTCTGGCTTTGAAGAGATCGGTGAACCCAGCCGGGGAGAAGTTGCCCACCAGACAGGCTCGCTTGTCTGGACAGTGTAGAACGGGTGGGATCCACTCGGGCAACGCTCAGGAGAGAACCATCAAGGTCACGCTGCCTTTTGTCCGCTTAAGGATGGCAACAGCTTCTTCGTGGGTGACCCCTTCAAGACTCTGCCCATTGACAGCGATGATCTGGTCCCCCCTTTTCAGACGCCCATCTTCGGAGGCTGCTCCCTGCAATTATAAGTCGGCTTGTTTACTTCTCAGAAAATGCTGCCCCGCAGCTACACAACAGACACAGAGCTAAACAAGAATGTAAATTGCTCGGCGTGTACACGCTTGGTTGCCAGTGCTCCCAGGTGTGCTAGAGCCACTAAGCAGGGGTGAACACACACAGAGGAGATCTTTTCAAAACGAGGTTAGCCCCAAGATCCAAATTTAAGAGCAATTTTGGCAGTCAGTAGGCTAGATCTCTTTGTTCGTCTGTTTGACCGTTCAGCCGAGCAGTTGCTAGGATCCCAAATGAATCAAGACGATTGGGAATCTGCCTAGTGGGGATGGTTTCATACAATCCAGAATTTTCTATCCTATAAAGGAGCCCCATGGAAAGAAGCCAAAGGGGTGAACAGGAACAGACTCCGTCTTATAGGACATGTGCATGTGATCCTTGAAACCAGAAAGTTTGCAGAAGCAAAAGTCAATGTCCAACGGCCCAGCCACATGTTGTCAAGACCAGGATGAGACCCAGGTCCTGAATTTAAGACCCAGGCCTGTTCCTGCATTATCCGCGAGTTGGAAAAGGCTGCTCAAGAAGTCTTGGTTCTTGGCTTCCCCAAGATAGATGGTTCCTCCCCATTCCTTAAGGGCCCCACAGGACTCAGATGATTCAAAAGACCTTGCCATCGGAAACAGAGCCCTATCTCAGGGCATGCGCATAATAGGCAAATGTGCAATGTGGAAAAGTTAATGAGGAGCTCATAATGATGCTGTTCTTAAAATATGTTCTAACTAGCGTGCCTTAAACCAAGTGTTCCGAGGTTGAAGGGAAGGCAAGTGCTGTTCAAAACGGCTTTAAAAAAAAAGCAATCTCGAACATGAAATCCACCGCTAGCTGGTGGTTCAGAGAGCTCTGTATGGTTGTTTCTCCAGAACTACGAGCGAGAACGGTCAGATCAACTCTTCTCACAGGTTAAGCATCACTTTGCGCCTTTGCACTCTTCCACGTGGAGGAGCGGGGTTTTTCTTAGGTAGGGCACTTTGCTCAGTTGTGCGGCTTCTGAAACAATTCCATAGCAATCTATTAACACTAAGTCTACAATGGCTACAAATGACCGTGACCGCTTCCACCAGATTTTTGCAATAGCTTTTTTTTCCTTTTAAAACCTTGTTAGGTCTAGACTGGTTTACCAATGCAACTCAAACGTTACTGCCCTCATAGCAACCCGACAGGACAGCGCAAAACCGCCCCTTGGGTTGCAGAGGCTCTGAGCCGTTTTGAGAGCAGAAAGCCCCATCTGTCTCCTGCAGAGTGGCTGGTGAATTCGAACTGGTGACCCCGTGGTTAGCAACCTAAAGCGTAACCCGCCATGCCACCAAGGCTCCTTAGTTTACTAATAGACAACAGCAATAGAAACGGTTTCTATTTTTCATTGACTCACTTGTTGGCAAGCAATTGACTTGGTGCACGTGAGAGGACTGTGGATACCCTTCAACATTGCTTGTATATTTAATTCAATCAAATAATGGCCGACTAGGAACCTGCATGTGTGCCGTGGTTACTTTTCGGGAAGTAGTTTATAGTTCACGGCAGAAACGGTGTTCAGAAAACAAAAGGCTAGCACTCTCAATCCATCCAGAGGAAAAAGTCCCGTTTCCAACGGCAATCATGGGCGGCTTGTGGCACAGGATCTACATGGGCTAAATTTACTGTCTGAATCTGGGTTCATGAATTTGTCTACATACAGGGGCGGGAGTCCCATGGAGTTTCAATTAGGGCCTCTCTTCCTAAGCCTCAAATTGGACCAAAAATATGTAATGACCCGAAGGGAGTTTGAGAAGAAAATGATCAACTGTTAACCATTTGGCATTACCTCGGGCCATAAACTAATAAGCCAGCTGCTGCTGACCACCGTTAATGCATGTTTGCGGGGGTGGGGGATGGTGTGTGTGTGTGGGGGGGGCGCAGGAAGGCAGTTAGAAGGAGCAAGCTTACCTTGGCAAACACGGTCTTCACATAAATGGGCAAATCTCCGTGAGGACTGCCGAACCCTCCTACAATGCTGAAGCCTAAGCCGTCCGGTCCCCGGTCGAGTGTGATGGACTTGCACTGAGGAGGTCTGCAGGCCAGGACACAGGAAAAGAGGATGTGAATCCTGAGAAGTAGATACCTACGCATACACACACAGATCTGAGAATCTGAAGTGTAGGCGATCCGACATCTACCTAGGCTTTGCATAATTCTCTGTGATGCTGACAGTGGATAGATTCCCGATACCCTGGGGATTCTTGAATTGTTAAGTGCATGCTGGGTTCAGTATTGTAAATTTACATCGTCTAATAAAATCCTACTTGACAATTTTGTTCTTCTTTGCAGTTCCTTTAAATGAACATGCTCCCAGCACATTTTGGTTACATGTAAGAGCTCATCTCTCCTAGTGACAGGGCTGGCATGTGGGTTGGGGGGTGGGGGGGGCGGGTCATGGAATAAGTCAGAAGCGCCACTATTCTAACACTCAGATAAATATTAATCCTGTAACAGCCACGCCCAGACTCAGTGCTGCTACCTTCATTTTGATGCGTAACTATTGTACAGGTCTAGAGTTGAATTGCCCCTGCTGGTGAGCAGCCTAGGGTATAACCGTGGTGTACCCAGCATCCTTTTAACAGTGCAATGTGGCCACAGATTATCTTCAGATGTTAACCTGCCTCCTTCCTGGTCTCTTCCCCTGCATTTGTGATGCTGTTGCAGTCAAGTTTGGGCAACTGACTTTTTTCAATCAAAAGAATGCTTTAACAAATAAGTAGGCAATAGATCTATTTCCCCATCCTCATATAATATATTTGCATATGTACATGTCTATGAGCCTACATTTATAAGTTTAGTATTAAGGTAGCAGAAGGACATTGGGCCTCCACTCAAGTACTCCCTCAACACAAGAATACTTTCTTCTAGTAAATTGGCATT